GGGGGAGGGAAGAGAGAGGGGGAGGGAAGAGAGAGGGGGAGGGAAGAGAGAGAGGAGGAGAGAAGACGAGGAAAAGAGGGGAAGACAAGAAAAAGAGGAGAAGACAAGAAAAAGAGGAGAAGAGAAGAAAATGAGGAAAAGACACAGGATGCCACCAGTTCATGGACGCACTCTCATCAATCAGAATCAGTGGGTTGAAGGTGCCAGACCGGCGAATGGCCGAAACCACCTTACCAGGCAGGGCCCCAACGTAGGTGCGCCGGTGGCCCTTGAGCTCGCTCGAGTCGCCCATACCACCGACGGCGATGCGAGCATACTTGCGGCCGAGAGAGGCAGCAATCGACCGAGCAATGGATGTCTTGCCGACACCCGGCGGACCCACCAGAAGGATGATCTTCGGCGAGGGGACCTCACTCAGGCGCTTCTGGTTGTACTCCTCCTCCATGCGGCGGTAGCGCTCGAGTTGCTCATCCGGGCTAATGTCCGACGGGGTGGCGGCGGAGCCGCTGCCAGCGGCACCGCCGGTCGGGGCACTGGACGAGGGGTTGTTGTGGCGGAACTCCGAATCGGCCTCGATGATGCGGAAGAACTCGTCGAAGGTCTTGGCATTGGAGCCAATCGGGGACTTGCGCACGGTCGGGTCATCCAGAGCATCGGGATCGGCCTTGTCGCCGGCCATCGAGGAGCCGGAGTCGTCCGAGGCCGGGGCCCGGTCGGTCAGAAGCTCCTCGGCCATGGCATCGCCAGGAGAGGCGACATCCGAGGAGGCACCGGCCTCCTTGGGGCGGTTCTCGGCGATGAAGCGCTCCCGCGCGGCGGCCTTCAGCTTGGACGAGGCAACAAAGTGCATGATGCGCTTCTTGACATCATCCATGCCAAAGTGATCCTCGTCCAGGATCTCACGCGTCCGACGAACATCAAACTGCTCCTCGCTGGTCACCCCCCAGGGGAGGCTGAAGATGGTGTCGATGTAGTTCCGGGTGATGGACAATTCGGAGGAGTGGGTCTCCGTCCCGCCCAGGCGATTGATCTCCTCCTCCAGGGCGCGCAGCACCGGGAAGGGCAGCACCGAGCGGATCTTCTCCAGCTTGGCGCTATACCGCTCGAAGAGCATGTCGGCACTGGAGTTGTCCACGCCGAGCTCCCGGCGCAGGGTGCGCATCTTCTCGCGGATGGACTGCTCCCGCTGGCGCTTGAGCGTGGCGGACTCGATGTTGCTGGACACCTTGATGTTGATCTGGGCATTGATGATCTCGCGCTGGAGGAGAACCAGGAGCTTCTTCATGCGCAGGCTGAGCAGCGGCGTCTCCAGCAGGTCCTGCAGAGCCAGCGGCGACGTCTGCGGCAGGAAGGAAGACACGATGTCCACAAACTGCTGGGGCGACCCGCTGAAGTGGTACCGAGTAAAGGTGTCCCGATTGCGGAGGAAGGTGTCGAGGAAGTTCTCATTCAGGTGCGACAGACGCTTGATATTCTGCATGATCTGTGCCGTGTAGGTCTCGATGGTGGAGGCGTCACAATCGATGATGGTCAGGGGGGCGGGCTTCGGCAGGGCGGCAGCGGGCCCGGCGCCGGAGCTGGCCGAGGAGGAGGAGGAGGAGGAGGAGGAGGTCTCGCCATCGGAGTCAGCCTCGGAGGCGGTGGCCGAGGCGTCGCCGGCGATGGCACCGGCCACGCCGGTGGTGTGGGGCGGCGCGTCGGGATCGCTGACATTCAGGTACATGAGGTTGTCATGGAGGACGGCCGACTCGGCGCGAATGCGCCGGTGCGGCGACACCGCCACCAGGGCCGACGAGTCATCCATCAGGCGAATGTGGAGGATGGTGGCCAGCATGCCGACCGAATGGATGTCCTCCAGGCCGGTGATGGCGTCCGAGGGCTTGGTCGACCGGGAGAGGAAGAGACCAATCGGGGCGTCCTGGTTGTCGCGGGTCAGCTCGACCAGGTGCTTGACCACCAGCAGGTCGCTGACGGTGATGGTCTTGGGGTTGAAGGGGAACAGCGGGGCATCCTGCACTGGGATGGCGAAGATCGAGCTGACCGGCCCGGGAACCGGAGTGGCCAGCGGGCTGTTCGGGCCGTCGGTGCTGATACCACCGACGGCCACGCGCCCGGGGGCCGGCGGGGCATTCGACTGCGGGGCCGGGGCGTCGGCATCCGAGGGCACATCGTCATGGTCGTCGTCGTCGTCACCCTTGCCGCCGGCGGCGCCAGCCGCGGCCGGGGGCGCACCACCGGCCGGGGCCCCGGCCCCCGGAGCCGAAGGGTTGTCATCGGAGAAGAGCAGCGAGCAGCCGAGCGAAGTGGGCCGGGAGAGATCGAAGAGATCCGCCGCACTGGGCCGATTGCGGTGATGTGGCCCGCTGGCTCCGGGGATGGAGGCAGGCATGCGATCGGATGGGGGAACGGCCGTGCCGTAGGCCGCGCGCAGGAAAAGCGGCCGGGCAAGCGACGCGTCGCGGGAGGCCAGCAGCCTGACGCCGGGGGCACGCACGGCAGCCGACATGGACCGCGCGATGCGGCTAGTAAGGCCGATGTAGTGCATGGCTTGGGGGAGCTCTTTGGGAAGGGGGTGTGAGGGGAGGGCAAAAGAGAGAGAGGGATG